AATACAATGTTTTGTCTGATTAAAGTGATGGTGCAGTCATCAAATCTCCTTCTAGTTGTTTTAGAAGAACTACTTTTATACTCTTCCAGTTCGATCAATTACAGAGTCATTCAGAGATTGGTTTGTGACATCCTTAATTCTATAAGTATGCTAGGGTAGAATATCCACATACCACACCCCTATACATATACATAGTTGATCTTGCTGAAGAAAATGAAGGCCACAGTTGAAAAGAACAAAATATTACCTTAAATAATGAATATTGTAATACATTCATAACAAACTTGTGAAATAATTTCTTTTGTTCATGATTGAGTCACAAATGGATGTCTTCACAAGATCTGAACAATCAAATTTTCCAACAGATCTGAAGTTCTATGCTCACAGAAGATTGTTCCAACATTTAGGAAAGCAAAAAGGACAATACCAGTAGAAGAAAGAGCGTAAGTATACTAAACCTTTTTTACTTAATTTAAAATTCATCATTTCTATTTTCAGTTTTATTCCATCCAAATAATGTATGATAAGTAAAAGCAATCATTTATGACAATAGCTATTTCAGCTGTCCTTCCTGATCTGTTCTTATCATTTTAGTTTTCAATAGTTTTATTCAATTTTCATACCTGAATTTTATTTTTTTCCAGGAGTCAAGATGAAAACGGAATTCAAAAGAAACGCTTAAAAACAGGTGGCAGACGTATGGAGAAATGTAATAAGATAGTGCTAACTTTAAAGATACCTGAACAGGATAAATCATCCAGCTTTTCCACAAAAGGTGACCTCATCAACACTGATAAATCTATCAAAGAACAGAGTGACCAGTCCATGATTGGGCAGACAGGTCCATCAAGTATGTCTGCGGAAGTCAGAAGTTTAGCAAATACAAGTAACTTGCAATTGGAAAGTATGGCTGCTGCTTGCCACGGAGATCAGGTGAAACCAGTATCAGATTTACCAAACACTTTGCAAGGCAAAGAGCAATGGCAGGTGAAAGATCAAATTGAAGATGTTGGTGAGATGACAGTTGTAGAAGAAACTGCTAAAGAACAAGAAGGGCATGACATTACTGAAAGCAATCAATCCTATCATAGTGGTTTACACTCTGAGGAGACTGCAAGCCAGAAAGCTTGGAAAACTCCAGAACCTAATGCACCACAGGCAGATCACCTGAAATGCAATGGCACTTCAAAAGAGCGGCATATCAATGAGGGACATACAGAAAAGTCAGGTTTTATTCCTATGTCACAAATTACCACAGAGAATCAAAACAAGTTCCATCATAAAGACGTGAACATTATTGAGGACGAAAGCAGTCAAAGTATTGGTCAAGAGGCTAAAATTAAATCTGAGAAGGAAGGTCCATCACATTCAGTGAATTCACTGCAGGTCATCACTGAAGCAGTTATAGAGAAGTGGAAGGGAATACTAGTACCACCAACTAAAGAACATAATCTGAGGAAATTTATCCTCACAGTTGTCGGACAGCATCGGGGAAAACTGGATTCATCTGGTATTCCATCACTGCTGAATGTCCTTACTGAGGCCAAAGAAGATCAAGGAGAAAAGAATTGTGGCCAAACATTACAGGATACAGAGAAATCAGAATCTTGTGATCTGATAGAGTCAGACTGTTCTGTAAGGGACAGGGAACTTATTTCTGCTAAAGGTAAAGCATAATGTATGTTTGAAGTATACTGGGTTATAGATGTATATGAGTAAGTGTATTACACTTTTTGTACAATGGATGTTAGTCCCCACTGGTTAAACCACCGGTGTAGGTGTAACGTTACCTGAGATAAATCTCCTAAACTCCATCACCTTCAACAGTCATATTTTGCATGCAAGTATATATAGGATTGGGGGAAATGGTCATACAATTATCCTGCCTAAAATCTCTTTATTCAGAGCTATTTACCTCAGTTGAATGCCAGTAATTTTTTCAGGGGCACCCTAAATACTATATTACCTACCACTGCCAAGAGATGCATGCTGGTATCATTTTGGATTGCAGGGTAATGTTAATTGAAATTTGGTCTTGTACCCCAGTATTTAAAAAGAGTGATTGCCTCTGTGGTTATCCACATCTAGATTTAGGATGTATGAAATGAATGTAGGTCACAACACTTTGAGAATTTACACTGTTTTTATGGAGCTCCTCACAATACAGAATGAATTGATAGGAAACTGATGATTTGGTTTCTTTTCTACAGACACCAATATGAACAAGAGTGAAACCGATGCCAGCAGAGGGGCTAATGAAATATCTAACCACAAACTGGATACACATACCAAAACTGATGTTACTTCCAACCTCCTCTTGGAAATAGGTTCAAAAACTGATGTCAATCCCAACCTCACAATGGACGCCAGTACCTCCAGCTTCACACTTGACACACACACTAAAACAGGTTTTGACCACAACCTCACAATGGACACCAATACCTCCAGCCTCAGACCGGACACACACACTAAAACAGGCATCAATCCTAACCTTACAATGGACACAGGTACCTCTAGCGTTACACATGTCACCTCCAACTTCACTTTAGACACTGCTATTCAGACTAATTTCACTCCCAGTATCATGCCAGACAGAAGCACAAAAACTGAAATTACTTCCAATCCCACTCTTATAGATACAGTCACAAAGACCAACGTCATATCCAGCCTTGTGAGCGACAGAACTGAAACCTCAAGTCTTGCACAAGACGGGACTACTGAAGAGGAGTATGTCGGAGATGATGAAATCTCTGACTCCCAATTGTATGCTATGACTGCAATGGACTGGACAGAGGAACCTCTGAGACCATCAGGGTTTGTCAAGTTTGAATGGAAATTGTAAAGTTTTTTGGGGAACAATTTTTTCATACAATACACCAGTCGGAGTGTTTTTAGATGGACATCATAACTAATGCTAATTACTTTATGAATTTTACTGTAAACTTATCTGTGGTCTACATTTGATATATCTTAGAAAAAGAACTCTTAATTGATTTTAATGATCAGAAAAATTTGTTTTCAGTCAGATGTTTCGACATGAGAGATATCAGCATTTACTTCGAAAAAAATATATTCTAAAAAAAATGTTATACATATGTAAAATTTTAGTAATACTGTCAGCTACATTAACACAAGCCAATGTCATCAATTTGTCTGTCAGAAATTCATTTTTTATATTAATATGTTGTTTTAGGGACACTGGAAAAGGCCGAAATTCTAAATCACCTGTGCTTCAACCATTCATTCCAGACAGAACAGATATTATCAAAGGACTTATCAGAGAAGTGTCCCACCTCAAGTATGTACCCAAGACATAATGCTGTGCATATTCATTTTTCTTTTATCCTTAAAAAGTGGGTACAGTCCTTTTAATGCAAAATCAGCTGTGTTGCAGTAACATTTTCCTGCGTGAGTTTTGATCCTGTTCACTTCAGCTGTGCCATTGTGTAAGGTTTACCTCCCCTGATCCACTGAAAAGAACTAACTTTGGTTATAACTACTGTACCTAGGCCGAAGTATTTTGGTTTGAAATCTAATTGATTATCTTTTCAATAAAATCAAAACAAAACAACCCACCGCAAGAGTACCATTTTTCGATTTTTTATATACATCAATTTGACTGATTGATTGTGTTGCTGTGGAATAAAACATTGTCTAATCCAATTTTCAGTATGATGATGTTGAGAGCCAAGCGAGAGATGCAGACAGCAAATCAGAAAATGCCTCCAACAAGCAATATTGGAATGAAAATTTGGACAGAAAAGTGACTGGACGTTTAACATACAGGTGTATTTGTGTATTCCTCAGAATCATCAATGGGAATCAATGGCTACAGCATGTTCCTTACCTTTAATCTTAACAATCCAATAGGATTTTCAAGAGAAGTATAGATAATCAACACTACTGTTTTAATCTTGACCAAATGTATCTGTTTCAGTGGTATTAAAGATAATTGAAGGTATGATAAGTATGAAAAAAAAATTAATATTTTCTTAGCAACTACAGCTGGAAACAGGTTCAAATGCTTGGGATTTTTTTTTTCAAATGGTCACCAATTAGGTAAACAAGTAGTTCAGTATTGTAACTGAAATGAGTATCATTACATGTCCTCTAAATTTACACTTTTAGTCACAAAAAGTTTGAATGTTGTAGTGTAAAACCATTTCCGCTGGGCTAAAATTTCATGGTTTTACAGAAAGATGCATTATATCGGCATTTGATTTCGTGGATACATCTTGCCGAATAAAAAATGTACTTTAATCCATATCAGTTTTCATCTGGGTCTCGTTACATTGGCATATCAATTTGTATACTGAGAATGCCTTGGATTCAACAAAAATTAAACCTCATGATAATTAATCATTCTACAGTATTTAATTTCCATAGTAACCAATCAAATAACAAAATCATTTGTCCCATAATCCAATATACCCATGTAAAGTTTCATTGAATTCCATGCTGTTAAACCTGTGAAGGCTCCTACTAAGCAACCAGACAAACATATCTGGAAAGTGGGATGAAGATATATATATATACAGGGTTTTCCATAATTTTGTTAGTAGTAGGCTGTGTAGTGAAAGTAGGAGGCTGGCCTGCCGTGTAGGTGTAGTAGTGTACGGAACATTATTACGGAACTGGATTGGTGTAGGCGGCCAAATGATCAAAGCGGCCAGTCAAATTGGCCGGCGACCGGCTCTTATAGAAAACCCTGTATATATATAAACATGGATTAACCACCGTAAATGTAGTGAAAGCCATGGGAGTTGTCTCCCTTAGTGGGACAGCCTTTGACGTGAGAGTGTGCTCATGACTTCTAACTTCAGCAGAAGTGTTCTCCAAACATGAGTAAACTTCACAGTACCACTTGTTAGTTGGGAGCTGGAGGTAACCCTAGAGGGACAGGATTCAGTGTGTAAACACACTGAAACTCTCTACACTCATAATGAAAATCTGTAAACCAGCCTGTCACATGTAGACAGAATCAAACAAAGATATTTGGAATTATTTACATATTTATTGTGGTATTTACAAGTGTTAACATGAAATCACAGATGATGAAGGAGTCTTGTGATACTTGTAGTTACTGTTAGCTCAAAAGGTCAAAGTCATCTCTCTGAAAAATACAAACAATGCAAGGATATGATAGATGATTGTAAGTATTGGGTAAATTGAAAATACTCATACAATGTATTGTAATACACTGATTGTGTATAGGTATTTATGTTCTTAACATAACCTGTCTTATCAGACCCAGTGTGCAAACAAAACCTGTCTTATCTGACCCAGTCGGTGCACAAAACTTGTCTTGTGTGACCCAGTCATTGCATAAAACCTGTTATATGACCTTGTCAGAGCATAAAACCTACCTTACCTAATTCAGTCAGTATCATATCTGACACAGTAGATCAAATGCCTTATCTGTACACAAATCCTTTTCCTGATTAAGTCGGTGTAAAAAACTAATCTTTGACATTTACCTACGCCAGTACTCAAAACTTTAATATAACTTCTAAAGGAAAGACAAAACCTGTTTAATTTGATGAAGTAATAAATAATTACCATGATGAAGTATGACCAAATAATTATCATGATGAAGTATGACCAAATAATTACCATGGTGATGTATGACCAATTAATTACCATGATGAAGTATGACCAAATAATTACCATGATGAAGTATGACCAAATAATTACCATGATGAAGTATGACCAAATAATTACCATGATGAAGTATGACCAAATAATTATCATGATGAAGTATGACCAAATAATTATCATGATGAAGTATGACCAAATAATTACCATGGTGATGTATGACCAAATAATTACCATGATGAAGTATGACCAAATAATTACCATGATGAAGTATGACCAAATAATTACCATGATGAAGTATGACCAAATCATTAAGTATGACCAAATAATTACCATGATGAAGTATGACCAAATAATTATCATGAAGTATGACCAAATAATTATCATGAAGTATGACCAAATAATTACCATGAAGTATGACCAAATAATTAAGTATGACCAAATAATTATCATGAAGTATGACCAAATAATTACCATGATGAAGTATGACCAATTAATTACCATGATGAAGTATGACCAAATAATTAAGTATGACCAAATAATTACCATGATGAAGTATGACCAAATAATTATCATGATGAAGTATGACCCAATATTTACCATGTCATTGTAGTCTAGCACATGTTTTCTGATGGCTGATGTATCTGTCCAGGTGATGAAGTCCTCCATGTTCCTGGGGAAGTGAAAAGATTGTAAATTATAATCGCAAATAAACCTTCTGATCTAACCTTAATGTTTTTTTGGACAAATTTGTATTATTGATAATTAAAATGGCACATATTCACAAATAGTTAGAAAGAATGAAATCAGTCTTTGTCAGTGCTACCTATATTGCATCTTGAAATCATAGTTACAAACTGACACAAAATAATCATGAATTGTTTAAAATATTCCAGTTTGTTATTAGCCAATCATCTTACCTGGTGACAAGGAAAGCTGGGTCTGATATTATCTGTGGTCCTACTCGTACATCTATTTCTATGTCAAGGTCGTTACATTCTCTATGTTGTTATATTCTCTATGTTATATTCTCTATAGGTGATTTCATCATGGTCTTGATATGAGTTTATTAGTTTACAAAATGTAAGGTTGCAAAAAATGATAGCAATATTAGTTTTCAATATAATTCTGTTTCATCTTCAAAATCTTAAAATCTTAATGTGGTACCTAACTTTTGAGAGAATGAAGGAGGCTTAAACAACCCATTTACAGTAAAATAAAATTTCAAGATGTTGGGACATACAATCATAATATCCCAAAACTTTCATTATCAGACAGAAGTTGAGTATGCAAGAAATAGAATTTAATAAAGTTTGTTGCTCAATTATGAACACTTGTATATACTTTATTATGGTGTTTCAAATATATTGATATGCAGGAATGGTGATATAAGCTATTTAACACAGTCCTGGGTCCTTGCAGTGACAAAGAGTTGCTCCCCTTTAACCAAAGTTCTGTTTTGCAATATCTTTTATTTCTTTTTTGCTGTCAAATGTCACCATAGACTATATATAGAACTTTTCCCTTAAAAAGTATCAAGACAATGACCGGGGGGAAAACTAAAAGTGGAATAGGTACTAGTATGTTTAAGTAGACATTTTACTACCTAAATCAGTAGGATTGGCTTCACAATTAAAATCTTACACAACTAAAATATTACACAACAAAAGCTCAGTGACACATCAATTGGCATTCAGGCACAAATGAATTATGCATGTTAAAAGAATACCCTTGAAATAATTTCCCCTGATGAATAAATTAAATGACAACTGGCCTAATTTAACTAATTGTACATAAATATTAGCTGCAAATCTCAATGTTGTACATGGCCAACACCAACAGAAGTGTGCCTGATGATGTACCCAACATTCAAATCCCCTTCAGGCAGTCACACTTTGGTGGCATAAATATAAATTTACGACCACCAGCAGATTTCTTTGGTTCCATTGTGATGTTGGTGTGGCTAGTGTGACAAAGGATACGTCCCTGCTCTATAAATGTTGTAGCGGCCTTAAGTGTCTCTGACATGTGGTTCCTTACCATCACCACCGGCAACCGTCGCCTGCAAATACCATCATCATCTTGTGTAAGAACAAATCATACAAAATAAAACTGGAACCGAAGAAACTTTATGGCAAAAATCTCTTAAAAAGAATCATACTCTAAGTGTTATGACTTTGTTAAACAGTATCAAGACGGTGACGGGGGAAAACTAAAATTTGAATAGGTACTGGTAAGTTTAAATAGACATTTTAATACCTAAATCAAAAAGCTCATAAAAAGACTCAAACTGTAAGTGTTATGACTTTGGCAGTAAGTTCACGAAACAAACTAGTGCTACAATAACTATGCAAACTATTGGAAAACTATGATGGAAAAGCATATCAATTATCATTGAAATTATAAAAAGATTTCACCAAATTTGATCCCTGTGACCTTCAAAGGCCATTAATTATAGCATATTACTGGCCAATTATCACGATTCTTGATGTCTGGTTACTCAAACAAATGCATTTAGAGACTTTACTACATTTGATACCCGTAATCTTGAATGTAGGTCAAAGTCACTGATATGAACAAACTTCAGATCGCTTAATCTGTGCATATGTAATAACATTTTTAACACTTTTTCTCTCTAGTGAATTTACTGGTGAGTTTTATGAAGATTTGAAAACATTTCACTCCAAAAACCTAGAAAGTGAGACGAGATCTTCACATTTGTAAGCTTTTCCTTCCAGCATGTTTGATTACCAGAATCATTGATCAATACCAGTATTGTGGTGCCCAGTATTGTTGTTTGATGCCCAGTATTGTGGTTTGATGCCCAGTATTGCTGTTTGATGCCCAGTATTGCTGTTTGATGCCCAGTATTGTGGTTTGATGCCCAGTATTGCTGTTTGATGCCCATTATTGCGGTTTGATGCCAAGTATTGCTGTTTGATGCCCAGTATTGCTGTTTTTATGCCCAGTATTGCTGTTTGATGTCCAGTATTGTTGTTTGATGCCCAGTATTGCTGTTTGATGCCCAGTATTGTTGTTTGATGCCCAGTATTGCTGTTTGATGCCCAGTATTGTTGTTTGATGCCCAGTATTGTGGTTTGATGCCCAGTATTGCTGTTTGATGCCCAGTATTGCTGTTTGATGCCCAGTATTGCTGTTTAATGCCCAGTATTGTGGTTTGATGCCCAGTATTGTGGTTTGATGCCCAGTATTGTTGTTTGATGCCCAGTATTGCTGTTTGATGCCCAGTATTGCTGTTTGATGTCCAGTATTGTTGTTTGATGCCCAGTATTGCTGTTTGATGCCCAGTATTGCTGTTTAATGCCCAGTATTGTTGTTTGATGCCCAGTATTGTGGTTTGATGCCCAGTATTGCTGTTTGATGCCCAGTATTGCTGTTTGATGTCCAGTATTGCTGTTTGATGCCCAGTATTGTTGTTTGATGCCCAGTATTGTTGTTTGATGCCCAGTATTGTGGTTTGATGCCCAGTATTGTGGTTTGATGCCCAGTATTGTTGTTTGATGCCCAGTATTGTTGTTTGTTGCCCAGTATTATTGTTTGACATTTGTTATTGTTGTTTGTTTGATAACAGTTATTGCTGTATGACACCCACTTTAGTTGTTTGACACCTAGTATTGTTGCTTGACTGTTACATACCAACATTATGGTTTGACCCCAAGTAAGGTTTTTGATATCCAGTGTTTCTTTGTATTAGAATTACCTGCAGAAAGATGAAGCAGTGATTTTATCTGCTAGTTCCAGACTCTTCTTGCTTGGTATCAGACGCATTGTGTACCTGCAAGGACAAAATATTTCATTGTTGGGTTAATAACAAACTCAGTAATGTGTTGAGACTGCATTAACCTGCTATTGATAATGATGGTACTGGAAAACTTTGATGGACAATAAGTTTGAGTTTGATTTTCAAGCTAATAAAACCATCTTTTCATCAAGATCTGAAACCATATCAGTCATATTTTCTACTAACTTATATAAAATTGACAGATACAATGAATGAAAGATTATTTCCTCTTGTCATTCTTTACTTTGTTATAATCATATTCCTCAATAAAATTTTCTTCACTTACAATTTTTCAATAGAAATACTGTTTGTCACAATAATGCTAGCATACTTCAAAGAGCAGCAGTTACAGAGCATTATTCTGACTTCTGGAGTATAATTCTATTTTCTGAGATATATCATGATCATAAAGCGATGATGCCTGGCCTGGATTGCATGGTTGAGATGCTGTGTAGACCTTCAGTCATACAGGACAGCTTATCTACTCAGTAATCAAGTTGTTTATCTTGTGTGTGCCACCCTATTACAGGACTCTTTGAAGACTTTAAAGTTTATCTTTTTTGGAGATCTAATTCGTTATCATTCCAAATCCAATTCTGATGCATTTTTAAAAAAAAAAATGGCTTGGAAAAGAACAAGATGAGGTATTTGATATACTGTTTATAGTTGTCTTAGCAGTATATGCCTTTCCCCGTCTCCAACCTATATGCCAACATAGCATATTTACTCTGAACCCTGTTGCCATGACATTCAGACAAAGATCCACCTCATTTAAAGACTAAGTGGTAAAACAATTCCAAACGATTCATCTTTGGGGGTCCATGTTCCAAGGTTACCCAAGCACTTGACCTCAACAACTTCAACTCTTATTATTTGGAAGTTGCTCTATAATTTTTGGGTTATCAGCACTTAAATTTATAAAAGGACTAAATTCTGCAATAGCCAAATCTAAGTGCAAAACAGTTTGATGTTTGTATTGAAACATTTCACTTACTAAATATGCAATTTTACCCCATTCGATATTTTTTCTATATATATGCATGCTGGTTTGATGGGGTACGTGTTCAACATTTGGAACAGCTAAGGGTTGAACTGTGGGGAGCATTACAGAACTTGTCTGAGGAGTGTGCTGGTCCAACAGAACAGCGGGACATAACTGGGGAGTAAGCTGGTCTGACAGAACAGCAGGACATGGCTGTTGCAGTCCCCAGACACATTCCCATGAAGATCGGTTTCAGTCCTTTCTTTCATCTCAGGAGGTCGGAGGTTGTAGGAGATGCCAGGATTAGGAGCAAGTGATAGTCATCAGCAAACGACCAAACAGGGACAGCAAAAAATTACCCCCCTCCCAAAAACTCTCTCGAAAAATGTTTATTAAAATGTCTGCCTTGCCAATGGGACAACCTCATGATGGAATTAAGATTGAAGCCTGGCATATTTTAATGTAAACTACAGTGCAATGAATGTATACTTAATATATATCAATTTGTGTCCATGGTCTGACCTAAGCTAAATGGAGAATTCAACATATTTACTTATATAAACAAAATGAGGTATACATTTGGTAATGTTAAAGTCATCTGGATTATCTGCACATATCTGAACTGTGAATGTTAAGTTCCTTACATATCTTACATGTGAATTTTTATACCTACAAATGTTCCTAACACATTGGAATTGGATATATATTAATGTAACCCTAGTAAAATACTAGCCACATGTACCAATGGCCAGAGACAACTTCTCTTTACCTCAATTGGTTGACCACAAGACTAGTATGCCAGAGGTACTGGGTTCAAATCCTAGTGGAGGCAATGAAATAAATGGTGATCTCTGTTTCATTGTATAGTAATAAATAAGTAAAACTACAAAGGAAACGAAATGTGAAAATATGAATTTACCACATTATCTGCTGTGATTTCATCCATGTAATATATTTGCATAAATGTCATTAATGTACCATGGAGATTTTTTCACTGGCTCAGCTGGTCAGAAAATGATTGTGATGTCATAATCATGTCAGGTCAAGAATTGAAAATGGAGCAGCCAAATAGGTGTTTCTGTTGATTTGTCATCCTCATTTTTACTTAAACCTGTCAAAATGTTAACTTTCCCCAAAAGAGTGCCCAAAAGGATGGGTAAGAGAACCAATATCAAGATAAGAAAAGTAGGTAGAAGTTCTTGGTAGGAATCTTTAATGGATCCCAAACAGTATTCACTAGACCTCAATCAAAGTAATTACAGGTAGATAAAATAAATAAAATGGATGGAGCATCAATTCCTGGATTCCTTAGTTTAATAATAGTTTACAGGATTCTGCTAGCTAGGATAGCCATCATCAGTTATGTGATAAAAAAGTATTTCAAATTTGTTATCATTTCATATGAGATTTTATATTATTAAAAAAAGTTTTTGAGGGTTTTTGATAAAAGGATTCAATGACAGGTTCTATAAAATCTCGTATGATGTGAGAACTTATTTAAGATCCTACGATAAATACAAAATCTATAATATTATAGATACTAAATTTATGACAGATATCATTATAGATATGTTAATAACTAAAGTTAATTGTGGTATAATAATTCCTGGGGTTAATTATCCTCCAGAGAGAACAAGAAGATCAATCAGATGTTTAAAACGTTGACTTTTGCCAAGTATTGTATCTACCAAACAACAGACATTAATACTGTGTACAGGATTTTATTTAATGCATGATGTCCGAACATTCTTGTGACATTTATCCATATTGACTAGTAGACAATATGTCCAAAACAATGTGGAGTGAAGTGTGACTTAGTATAACAATGTCAGTCAGTATGGTCCAAAAGTTGGAGCAGTTGAAAGAAGGGTAGGAATGTTTTGACATTAGCACATTTTCGTATGAAGGATTGAAAAATGAGGGACTGCAATATCCAAACTCAATGGGCTGACATTGAAACAGCTTTAATGTTTGCACTCAAATTTTGTCAAGATCTATCATTACTCCGAGAATCTGGTATTGAGTAGCACTGTCATCAGTCTGTGAGAAATTTAACATTATAAGAACCGTTCATTCTTTGACAGTGCATGTCACACAGTCATTGATTTGACAGTCATACTGTGACTAATTTGACAGTGAGAGAGGACCTCTGTCATACTGTGACTAATTTGACAATGAGAGGTGACCTGTAATACTGTGACAGATTTAAAAATGAGAGGTGACCTGTAATACTGTGACTAATTTGTCAGTGAGAGAGGTGACCTGTAATACTGTGACTAATTTGACAGTGAGAGAGGACCTCTATTACACTGTGACTAATTTGACAGTAAGAGGTGACCTCTGTAATACTGTGACTAATTTGACAGTGAGAGAGGACCTCTATCACACTGTGACTAATTTGACAGTAAGAGGTGACCTCTGTAATACTGTGACTAATTTGACAGTGAGAGAGGACCTCTATTACACTGTGACTAATTTGACAGTAAGAGGTGACCTCTGTAATACTGTGACTAATTTGACAGTGAGAGAGGACCTCTATCACACTGTGACTAATTTGACAGTAAGAGGTGACCTCTGTAATACTGTGACTAATTTGACAGTGAGAGAGGACCTCTATCACACTGTGACTAATTTGACAGTAAGAGGTGACCTCTGTAATACTGTGATTTATTTGACAGTGAGAGAGGGCCTCTATCACACTGTGACTAATTTGACAGTAAGAAGTGACCTCTGTAATACTGTGACTAATTTGACAGTGAGAGAGGACCTCTATCACACTGTGACTAATTTGACAGTAAGAGGTGACCTCTGTAATACTGTGACTAATTTGACAGTGAGAGATGACCTCTATTACACTGTGACTAATTTGACAGTAAGAGGTGACCTCTGTAATACTGTGATTTATTTGACAGTGAGAGAGGACCTCTATTACACTGTGACTAATTTGACAGTTAGAGGTGACCTCTGTAATACTGTGATTTATTTGACAGTGAGAGAGGGCCTCTATCACACTGTGACTAATTTGACAGTAAGAGGTGACCTCTGTAATACTGTGACTAATTTGACAGTGAGAGAGGACCTCTATTACACTGTGACTAATTTGACAGTAAGAGGTGACCTCTGTAATACTGTGACTAATTTGACAGTGAGAGAGGACCTCTATCATACTGTGACTAATTTGACAGTAAGAGGTGACCTCTGTAATACTGTGACTTATTCAACAGTGAGAGAGGGTCGATGACTACTGGACAGAATGGATCTTGGGTAGTCTGTCAAAGAATTGATTGTGAGGACAAGAATTTGAAACCAGGAGGCAAGGACAGCTGATGTGGAATAATTTCATTTGTAAATGTAACAATATTATTGACTGCTAAACTATTAACCTGTAAATCAATGAAGTAAAATTACTACTTTACTAAGATATATACACAGGATCTAATGATTAATACAACTAAAGGATACAGGCTAACACAGGAAGAACATGACCTCTGAACTTCTAATTACCTCTGCTTTATTGTGCATTTCATTAACTTCTCTCTACTGTAATACAAATCCACAGAGTGTATAAACTGAGTTGTGATACAAAAGACAAAATGTCAGATGATAATGAATCAAAGCCTGCCAAATCAGTCAGCCTGAGTTGTATTGGGTCACAGACTATGTCATCGTAAGGTGTAATTACCCTAACAGTCAGGTCCAATTAAAGCGCTGGTTTACACATTAAAGTACATAATAAAAAAAATGAGATAAGTCGCACACAGACATGTTTGCTTCAAGACTTGCCCCTGTATAGCTTAGCTGCCAAGGTATTGTTTTAAGTTTTATTATCTACCCAACATTGGATTGTAAAGCCTTAGATGTTTTTTCTGGCGTCTGTGGAATTTCCACTTTAACACCACTGTAATCAATCTGTTCTGCCATTGAAGCAGTAACCCTTGGGTCCCAACTCACCCCTCAACTGCCACCCAATATCAGTGTATTGGCTAGTTTGGACATAAAAGAGATTGCTGAA